CGGCCTCCGCGGCCTCAGTGTCCCCCTCAGCCTGGGCCCCGCGGCCTCCTGCCTTGGCTGTCCCTGGCCACACCGCCGCCCTGTGCGTCCTCCCCTGTGCTGACCCCTGCCCCGGTGCTCCCCGGCCCCTTGCTCAGCCATACTGCCCCTCCTCCCACCCGCCAACACTGGGGGCGCCACCCCTGGTCACCTTGGGGGCCACTGGCCACCTGCTGGCCAGGTGGTTGCTTGGCCTCACGGTGTTGTGGCCGTGTCCATGTCGCGGTCTGCTGCTTTCGAAGGCCCCTGGCAGGCAGGCCGGCTCCAGCCTCCTGTGTGCGACTGTGTCCACCAGAGGGCGCCTGGTCCACTTGTGTGGGACAGACCCTCCCTGGGCACCCGGAGTGAGCGGAAACCGTCCCGGGGTGCCCAGCTCATGGCGTCCACCCTGTGTTGCTCCCCCGGGGGTCACTGTGAGCCCTCACACACTGGCGGTGGTGAAGAGGGTGGCCATATTCCTGCAGTTTCCTCCCGGGAAGCGGGAGCAGACAGGCCATGACCGGTGACCACGGGGCAGGACCGCGTCCTCCGAGGCGTCCCTGGCGTAGGGCGGCCGCTGTGTGTGACCCTCGGCCAGCACCGCTTCTGTGTTGCTGTCAGATCTTATTTGAGGCTGTCCTGGGGGCGCCTGGCTTTAGTGGACCTGAGTGGCCTGTCCATCGAGGGCCCCTGCTTTGGGGCCAGCAGGTCCCCACAGCCGCCTCAGGACAGACGTTCTCCTGCCCCTTCACGTGGGCATGCAGGGCGCCTCCCCCGGACCCCACCCGGTGCTGAGAAGCCGGCCCGGGCGTGTCCCCGATGAGGGTGCTGGCCCCGGCTGAGCGGGGCAGGTGTGGACGGCCGGGGGGCACGTCCACGCGGCTGCCCCTCCCACCCGGCTGCGCGATGTGGGTCTCACACGGGGGTCAACACGGGTTGGCGGCCCCTGTGCCCCCCGGCCGCCGCTCCAGGCCGCCGCGAGCAGGGGCGTGGGGCCGAGGGCCGGTGGCCACTGGCCTGTCTCCTGCAGATCCGGGCTGAGCCGGTGGTGGGGCAGCTGGTCCCGGCCTGCTACGTGGGGCTGGAGAGGATCGTCCTGGCGGAGCGCAGGAGCGCGCCGGCCGAGTTCCCCGTGGTCAGCCGGCAGCGGCTGCTGCAGCTCGTGAGGGAGCAGCAGCTGCCGCTGGACGAGAGCGAGCTCCCCCAGGCCGTGCACTTCCTCAGCGAGTCAGGTGGGCGCGGGGCAGCCTGCCCTCCCGGCCCTGCCCGCCGCCCGCTGCCCGCTCCTCTCCTCCCCGCCCTCAGCCCCGCCCCGCCCGGTCCCTCTCCTGCCTCCTGGCTCACGGCTGCCCCGCTCTGACTGCGGGCGCCCCGCGGGCCTCACCCCACCTTGGCCAAGCCCCGGTGCCCCTTTGCTGCAGGGATCCTCCTTCACTTCCAAGACCCTGCGCTGCAGCTGGACGACCTGTACTTCGTGGAGCCCAAGTGGCTCTGCAAAGCCGTGGCCCAGGTGGGCGGGGCACAGCGGGCTGGCTCTGGGTGGGCGGGCCCGGTGGGCGGGGTAACAGAGGGCGGGGACGTGCTGGGCGGGGCCCGGATGGGCGGGGCCACATTGGGCAGGGTCCTGGTGGGCGGGGCCACATTGGGCAGGGTCCGGGTGGGCGGGGTCACATTGGGCAGGGTCCTGCGTGGGCGGGTCGCAGCGGGCAGGGTCCTGGTGGGCGGGGTCACATTGGGCAGGGTCCGGGTGGGCGGGGTCACAGCAGGGCAGGGTCCTGCGTGGGCGGGGTCGCAGCGGGCAGGGTCCGGTG